TGAAATTACAGAGCATTGGGGTTTGGCATTAGGATTTGAATGATGGAGGTTGCGTTGACGTTGAAGACGCATGAATGTTCGTTCATCATGAATTTTGTAATTAAAGGGATGCTGAAAGCACAAAATCAAGATTAAGAAGAAAGATTAGGCTTCAACTATATATGATTTCCAAATTAAAAGAAAAACTTGAAACTATGTTTCAAAAAAAGTGAATATAAAAAAAGACAAAAAAATGTCTACATCAAACATTGAACTGAATCACCTGTTATATGCACAAACACTAATGCTTTGATTGTTTGGTGCGGTTACATGCATGAGGAGGAAATAAGAAGTATATGTTTACCATTCCTAATTTCCAGGGGCTGTGTTTAATTAAAACAAGAAAAAATAAGAAAATGTATACACATGCATGACACTAATTTACTCATAGATCGCGTATAAAAGCTATATATAGTAACAATGTGTGCTTTACTCTTTTTGTTTACTTAATTATTTGTTAAAAAAATTAATTTTTTTTTTGTATTTTGCAACTTCCCCAGTTAATGTTTATAATAAAGTAAATAAAATTATAATTACATTACAAATGTATATTTTAATAGGTGTATTTAGTTTATGACTTTTTAATATTTCATATCTAAAAAACTCCTAAAATTACACAAAAGTCTTTATTTATTTTGGTATTTTTAATAAAAAATATTGATTGTTATTATTTATAAACTTTCATAATAAAGAGTCATTAGTAAAATTTTAATATTTATTTTAACCTTTTTATTTTTAATTAAAAACTTTAATTATTTTCTAAAGATAACTAGCTCAATTATACGTTTAAAATTATAATTAGAAAATATCAGTTATAGCATATTAAAATATTTTTTTCAGATATATAAAATATTTTTTAAAATAAAAAAATATATTAAATTATATTACTATCACTTATTTTTAAGTTTATAAAATATAAATTTTCATATGTATCTTCCAACTATACTACTCAGTATACATTTCACTATTCATATTTTTTTTAAACTGTTATTAGACGAACCACACTTGTTTTGCAGTATGCATTTTTTTAATATAAATCATAGTTAAACTATACCGCAGTATTCATATCATTTGTCTCGCATCGCTCAATTCATATTTTCTCACTGCCCAGTTTGTTGTTGCCATTCGGTACCAAAAAATACTAACAGAAGGAGAAAAAAAAAGAGAGAAGAAAGAAAAGGAAGAAAAGAGAGAGGGCATTGAAGGAAAAGATGATTTGTTTTGGTGGATTATATTCTTATTTAATTTAGTCTAGGGGAACTATAATATTATGTACATCTCTCAAGTGGAATGTGTATATGTGTAATAAAAACTGAAAAAGTATATTTAATTGTAACAATATCAAATTAAAAAAATCAAAAGAAGAAAGAGAAGGAAACTTAAAAATAAAACAAAACCCAATCTAACTTTTTTTTATGTACCATAAGTATAAAGTAAATAATGAATATTAACATTCATTGTAATTTTTAACTAAATTAAGAATAAATACATATTTAGAATAAAATACTCTTTTTTTGTTGTTAAAACACGATCTTCAATATTTTTAAATAATAAAAAATTAACTAATACCTGACAGTAAAAGGGTTGTATATATATACAGTTTGAATCATAAAATTTATGTTTATTGTTTATTTTAAATTAGCATGCTAAACAATTCCCCCTTTGAAAATTAGAAACAAATTTTTTTATATTCACCTTATATTATGGAAGAATTTTCCAAATGACCAAATTCAAAATAAAAATTAAGTGAATGACACTGATGTTAATATAATGAAGAAAGTATCATGCATGCTTCAATTATCCGGTTATATCCTCTTTAATTACAAGTTACCTAAAAAGGAAAAAAAGAGATGACATCAACACTTTAAGATGTGGACATCTTTAGTAGAGAACTGTTCAAAATGTGATATATAGAAGATATCCACGTAACTTGTGTTTTTTACTAACTTGTGTTTTTTACTGTATACATTTTTAGATTGGGCTAGTGATATGGTTCCATTAAATAAGGATATAAATGAATGAATGATATGCAAACTGAAATGAAATTAGTGCAAAAACTTTAAGTGTTTACAAAGCATAACGACGTTGTTTGATTAATATTTAATCAGTTTTTAAAACAACACCGTTTAAGGAATTAACAAGCGTTTGTTTTTGTAATAGAGTTTAACAGTTGACTATTCAGATTTCTTAAATAGATAAATCAACAAAATATGAGAGTTAAAACGGCCAATATTTAAAAGTTGGAGATTTTTTTGGCTCAAACATGAGTTAAATTTTTTTTAGCTTTAATTTGAAAGTTCATGATTTTAATGGTCATTTTCTCTTATATAATGAATAGCCTAGTTTTATGATATGTGAGGTCATATTGATTGTTTCTCAAACAACAAGGAATGCACACTCCTATGATCTGAAATTTTGTGGGTGTACAATTCCATTTTGACGAAATAGTACATGACACAAACCTAACATTTAATCTCTACATATTAGACCATCCCACATTAGCTAAATAGTATACCCAAACCTCTAATTATTAAAGCTAAAACCTAAGCAATAAAATATAAACCCAAATATAATCTACAAATGTTTTCCTAGATTATTTTTAATATATCATTGATAGTATGGATCACAAATATTAAACCTTACACACCCACTAAAATATACTACATGCCAAAACAAATCCTTAATTACTAAGTTGTTTTGGAATAAACCATGAATGCACATTCTCTTGATTTGAAAGGTTAAGTAGTATAGAACCCCAACCTAACCTCTAACTCTTACATATTAAACCCTCCCACAATCTCTAATAACTACACCTAAATCTCTAGTTAGTAAATCTATACCCTAATTAGTAAAATATAAACCAAATATAATATATATTTAAAATTTATCAACCATAGTATGGAACATACATATTAAACCCTACTCACCCACTTAAATATTAAACCCTAGAAAAATTCCTTAATTACTAAATCTAAACCCACATAACTGAACTATAAACCCAAACAAAATCTATATAATATGCTGTCAATTTTCTCAACGTACACGATATAGTATGGAACCGTTATAAATAGTATAGGAGGACTGAGCCGGACTCAACTTTTATAGACTAAACCCTAATCTGTTATCACTAAACCCAGACCTCAACCCCCACTTTCCAAATACTAAACCCTAAATCATAATTACTAAACCTTAAACCCAAATATAAACCTTAAACCCAAATAGAATGCAACAAAATACATAATATAACACATAGTAGTGAATAAAACAGAACATTCTTTATTAATCGTCAAATGGAATACATTAATATATCTCATTATATAACATTAATAGAACAAATATAATACAAATTGTTTCGCATTAGCACACACTATCATTGTAAGCACAATAAAACATTTATTTCAAGCAACAAATGGAATATAACATGATAAATAACATAGTACATTAGTATGAACGCGTCAATAAGAGAAATGTTGAATTTGAAAGACACGAAAGACTGCTATATTCATAAATATAAATATAGTATAGAAATATGTGTATAATAGTATACTATATCATAAATAGTATAGTAACCTCAAACAAATATGTACACAATATGTAAATATCTACTTCCTTGTCTTCATCAACCATGATTATGCAGTTTCATAGTTACTTTCTGCGACTTTTTCTCTCTCGTCTTCGTCGATGTTGCTTCTTCACCCACTTTCTCGTCAATCACAATTATGCAATCTTTGAATTGCGTTGATTTCATTGTGGCCATGGTTAGAGGATCTGAGAAAAAGGCGGGTTGCACGATATTGGAGAAGAATATGTGGTGACAAAGTGATCAGAGGTGGAGTTGATAATCTTACCGCATGTGACTTCGTATCTATCTTCTTTACCACAAAATTTTTGCGGCAACAAAAACGGTGGTGTCGTACATACAGATGTAAGATGAGACATATTCATTTTCCTCAAAACTATCTAATTATCTTGAAAGGTGAGAGTGGATACAACATGATCACATATTTACTTGTTACATTAATTAATTATTTAATTATTTTTGGTAGTAGGTTTCACCGATTGAATGTAAAGACAATATGACAATATTATATATATGAGGCAAGCTGTATAGGTGAAGTATGGTTTTTGGTTAGACTTTGAATTATAATTTTTTTTAAGGTTATACAATGCAATTTCCCTCACATTATTCGAGAAATAAGAATAGAATTTTCTTTGGTTCTCACTTTGAAATGTAACTATATTTATTTAAACATATTTTTTGAATACTAAAACTGAATATACCTTTAAACTCACTAGTTTTAATAGATTATTTGACTAAACATAGAATATGATTGATATGTTAACTGAATAGCAAAGTAGTTGAATAATTGTATATTTATTAGCAGATAAAGAGCTTTTTGTAGAATAATTCTAAAAGGATGAAAATTTAGTTTTAGTGGATTATTTATTGTTTATCATATTTTCAATATAAAATTTGGAAAGATAATAACTTTTTTAAAAGTACAAAATGTAAGAAATTTGACAAATATCATAAATAAAATAATATTATAAAAATGATTTTAAATGTTAAATCGTAAGAAATTGGTATTGTAGTATGATACTATTGGTCAGTAATAGTTTAGTTTTTTTTATTGTTATTAACTTTTAAACATCAATTATTTTGATTGTTAATATGATTTGACTTATATATTCAACGAGAAATAAACAGTCACTGGTAAATCAAAGTTTGAATAGTGCAAGTTCTCAATCTTATTTTTGACTTTCTATTTTCGCAAACGTAAAATATTTTCTTAACAAATACAGAGCAATTTGCTAAAAATATCACATAAATACGAAAATGAAGTCAAAATACAAGAAAAACACAAATGAATTGAGTGTCCCAAGAGAGTAAGAAGCACGCGCTGTAAAATACGAGTAGGTTTAGCAGTGAGGGGAATATGAAATGATACAGATGTAGATAAGTAAATCTACAGACACAAGGCACCACACACACAGGGAAAAACAAAATCTAGAGAGAGAGAGAGAGAGGGCATTGATGAAGAGAGATCATCACTTTGGTATGTCATTGCAAAGCATTTAGAAGGAAGATAGAATAAAAAGATCGAGAAAGAAAGAAAAATGTGGGCGCCCATATCAGTTTCAAGCTTCCATCTTCGTCTTCTTCTTCTCTTCTTCTGAGATCTAGGGTTTTGTTTGTTGTTCTTACTCAACCTCTCTCTCCTCTCTTAGATTGGTCATGCCCCTGCCCTTTGAGGAACTACAAGGCCTAAGTTTCTTAGATTCATCTTCCTACGGAACACGTGAAGATCTCTGTTGTGTTGTCGGTGTTAACAATGGTAGCGAGCCCACGTCTGTTCTAGACTCAATCCGAAGCCCAAGCCCCTTCCTCTCTTCCTCAACCACCACGCTGTCTTCCTCCCACGGTGGTCCCAGCGGCGGCGGCGGCGCTGGCAAATGCAATCAGATGACTTTCGAGGATCTCGACGGCGTCCTCTCCGGTTCTCCGGGACAAGAACAGAGCATTCTTAGACTCATCATGGGCGGCGATGTGGTGGATCCGGGCTCTGAGTTCATGGGTTTCGACCCGGGTTCTGGATCCGACCCGGTTATTCACAACCCTAATCCACTCTTCGGCTACGGCTTCCCTCTCGACGACCCGCCACAACCACCGCCTGAAGAAGAAGACGTCAAGTTTCACATCATGACAAACCCGAACCCGAACCCGTGTTTCTTCTCCGCCGGGTTGTCTCCTCCCGCAAAAAGACTCAACTCGGGTCAACCCGTATCTCACCACCACCACCAGTGGGCTTTCCCGTTCTCGGATCCAAGTCTCACGCCGCCGAAGCTAGCTGAAACCGAGGAGGACGAGCAGTCGTCGTCGTCAACGGTGATCACGGAGGAGCTATTCAACGCGGCGGCGGAGCTAACCGGAACCGATAACAACAATCCCGTACTCGCGCAAGGGATATTGGCGCGGCTCAATCACAACCTTAACAACAACAACAGTATCAATCCTAAACCTCCGTTTCAAAGAGCGGCTTTGTACGTAACCGAATCTCTCCAATCTCTACTCCAACACTCCTCCCCACCCTCCTCTCTCCTCCCTCCACCTCACACCCTCCTCCTCAAAATCGCTGCTCACAGAGCCTTCTCCGAAACGTCGCCGTTTCTCCAGTTCGTTAACTTCACCGCAAACCAAACGATCCTCGAGTCTTTACAAGGGTTTGATCAGATCCACATTGTCGATTTCGACGTCGGTTACGGTGGTCAATGGTCGTCTCTGATTCAAGAACTCTCCGGGAGAAGAAACAGTTCGCTAAAGGTTACATCTTTCTCCTCTCCTTCAACTCTCTCCGACGAGTTCGAGCTCAGATTCACTGAAGAGAATCTCAGAGCTTTCGCAGGAGAAACCGGAGTTTCCTTCGAGATGGAGCTACTGAACATGGAGACTCTCCTGAACCCACCTCTCTCTCTGCTTCGATCATCTGATAAAGAAGCAATCGCTGTGAATCTCCCAATCGGCTCCGTCGTCTCCGGTTACCTCCCGTTGATCCTTCGCTTCCTCAAACAAATCTCTCCAAACGTCGTCGTTTGTTCAGACAGTATCTGCGACCGGGACAGCGACGCGACGTTTCCCAAAGCTGTGGTCAACGCGCTTCAGTACTACACGTCTCTGTTAGAGTCTCTCGACGCTTCAGGGAATGTTAATAATCTTGAAGCTGTTACGAGTGTCGAGAGGTTTTGTGTGCAGCCGTGGATAGAGAGACTGTTGACTAATCGTTACCGTTGGATGGAGAAATCTCCACCGTGGAGAAGCTTGTTTGGACAATGTGGGTTTACTCCGGTGATGTTGAGTCAGACGGCGGAGACACAGGCGGAGTATTTGTTGCAGAGGAATCCGATGAGAGGGTTTCATTTGGAGAAGAGACAGTCTTCGTCTACTTCTTCGCTCGTGTTATGTTGGCAGAAGAAAGAACTTGTTGCTGTCTCAGCTTGGAAATGTTAAAGAGTAAAAATAAAAAATGTCAGCCACTTTCTTTTGTTTTTAGCTTTTTTTTTTTTTTTGTTTGGGTTTAATTAAGTTTTAATGTGTTCTTAATCTTTGATTGTGATGTTATTAGCCCAATCAAATGATATATATAAGTATCCTTTTGTTAGTCCAATGAAATATGCAGTCACATGGTTAATCACAGTATTACCACTTTATACGGTATAATCAGCTACTTGATCTAGTGTTAAGATTCTGCAGTGAAATTGTGTAGGTAACATTCTTTATTGTAGTCCATAACAATAAGATCTCTCTCACCCATGTCTTTCCTCTTCCCAATCATTTCTTAATTACCGCACCTTTTATTATCATTGATGATTGATTATTCATTTATACTTTCCTTTTCCATTCGGATTTTTTATTTATTTATATGACAAAATCTACCAAGGTCTGCTTGGGAACAACGCATTCATTACCATCCCCACATGATTTTAGTCTTTTTTTTATTTAATCCATTTTCTAGAGAAAAATTGAAATGAATCAATAATAAAGTAACCGATCAGATAACGGCATGTCAATTCGCCTACTAAACCGGTACTCACACTGAACCAAAAAAAATGGATACGGCTTCAATCAAACAATAAACCGGAAGCTTCATCTCCAACTAGAATATACTGCCATATTACCATCATTTACTATCCTTATTTGAATTTCGCTGTCGTCGAGGGAAATGTCAGTCTTATTGAAGCTCTTCTAATAATGGGTTTCTTTAAATTTAAGGTGACCAGTCACACTAGAATCAAACTATTACGAACGAGTAGGCTCTCTGTCTAATATTCCACCTGCAATTTTACATAATAACCGGTTAAAGAATACGTATGGCTAGCAAAAAAAACTTGTCTGTTTTATAATTACCATGTCCAGGGATGAGTGAGCCTGAGTCTTTGACACCCGCATCACATTTAATCAGTGCCTCGGTTAAGTCACGGAAGACCGATCCAAAGAAGTTAAGAACCCCAAAAGTTAATGTGCCTGATGCAATTATACCGCAAAATAAAACAAATATTGCCACAAGTTCAACTGTCTAATGCTTTTGACCACCGAGGGGAACTGGCCATCTTCTTCCAATTCCTATACGTTATTTAACTGCTCAGAAGACATCTCCTCGGATACATTACCACACAAATTATACCGAAAGCAAAGAATCATAGTAATAATTGAGTGCTTGCCGGTGTTTAGAACATGTGTGATAAAACCGCAACGTAGCTTGACCCGAAAACAAGGAAGATAACCACAGTAAAACAGACCAAATATAGTAACAACCCAACAATGCCACTGAAACAACAAACGCAGCTGATGTCACTGAGATATCTATATGACCAAAATACGCACAAACCAACATTCATGACAAAGATCAAACCTTTCATCACAAGTTTTGACGTGATTCACTTGAATTAAGAGTAATTGACAATATAAGTATGGGCATAAGGGCACCATATAATATAGCAGAGCAGAGTGATTTTAGAAACACATTATTGCAGTTATAACTAGAAAAAAGATAACAGAAGAAAATAGGACCAAACTAAAGGAGCAAAACGTTAGTTGTCTTCATAGTCTTTTACTTCTTGCCCTTGCCCTTTCCCTTGTCCTTTGGCTTCGTGTTTTTATCCATCTTTTGTTTCCTCTTGTCATCTCTCATCTTAATCTCCTCTTCACGCTTCTTCTTTTTACGTTCTTTTTCTGCTTTCCCTTCTTCCTCCAGCCTTCTGCGTTCTTCTTCACGTAACAAATCAGTCTTCGCTTGAGCTAGCGCCTCTCTCACAGCCTCTCTATCAGTCTCTCCTTCACCATAATCGAGCTTTGTAAATTCAGGTCTTAAAGCTGGGTTACCCTTATCAGAATCTGCATCACTAGCAGCAACGTTGTCGTCAGCCACTGCCTCAAGAGCAGCATCTAGACGTGCTCGAGCCATGGCAGCATCTACACGTGCTCGAGCCATGGCCTCTCTCACAGCCTCTAGCCGCGCCAATTCAAGTTCAAGGATTTTTTTTTTCTCACAGCGTTCTTCTTCCAGCCTTCTGCTTTCTTCTTCACGTAAAAAATCAATCTTTCCTCGAGCTAGCGCCTCTCTATGAGCCTTTTTTTCATCATAATCGAGCTTTGTAGATGCAGCTATTAAGGCTGGGTTATCCTTATCAGAATCTGCATCACTAGAAGCAACGTTGGCGTCAGCCACTGCCTCAAGATCCATGAAGAACGCAGCATCTAGACGTGCTCGAGCCATGACCTCTCTCACAGCCTCTGTCTGCATGCTTCTTTCACCAGAATCAAGGTCTGTAGATGCAGTTTTTGCTGCTAATAAAGCTGGGTTATCCTGATCAGAATCTGCATCACTAGCAGCAACGTTGGCGTCAGCCACTGCCTCAAGAGCAGCATCTACACGTGCTCGAGCCATGGCCTCTCTCACAGCCTCTAGCCGCGCCATCCTTTCAAGTTCAAGGTTTGTTTTTTTCTCACAGCGTTCTTCCTCCAGCCTTCTGCTTTCTTCTTCACGTAAAAAATCAATCTTTCCTAGAGCTAGCGCATCTCTCACAGCCTTTCTATGAGCCTTTCTTTCACCATAATCGAGCTTTGTAGATGCAGCTATTAAAGCTGGGTTATCCTTATCAGAATCTGCATCACCAGAAGCAACGTTGGCGTCAGCCACTGCCTCAAGAGCCATGAAGAACGCAGCATCTTCACGTGCTCGAGCCATGACCTCTCTCACAGCCTCTGTCTGCATGCTTCTTTCACCAAAATCAAGGTTTGTAGATGCAGTTTTTGCTGCTAATAAAGCTGGGTTACCCTTGTCGGAGTCTGCATCATTAGAAGCAATGTTGGGGGCATCATTTGCCACCGCCTCAAGAGCAACATCTTCATTAATCAAGTCTGTCGTCGCCTCTCTCACAGCCTCTGTCTGCATGCTTCTTTCACCAGAATCAAGGTCTGTAGATGCAGTTTTTGCTGCTAATAAAGCTGGGTTACCCTTGTCGGAGTCTGCATCATTAGAAGCAATGTTGGGGGCATCATCTGCCACCGCCTCAAGAGCAACATCTTCACTTATCAAGTCTCTCCCATCATCTCTTTCATCAGAAACGAGGTTTGTTGCTTTCTCATCTTTCACCACGATGAATTCATAAGCTCTTGGAATAGCCTGAGATGAAGCCAATAAATTGTGGTCAAGAATTGGTTTACCCAGAGCAGAATCTGCAGCCCTAGCAGCAATGTTGGCAGTAGCAACAGCAGCATCTGCCACACCAAGAGCAGCATTCAAAGAAGCAGCAGCCAAAGGCAATCTCCCAGAATCAAGATCAGCACCCGCATGTTGCTCAATCAGCTTGAAAAACTCATCCCTAAGAATATAAGCTTCCTTAGCATGAGAATATGCTTCAGCTGCATGCATCATAGCCTTCCTTACAATATCTTCAATGTTCACGAGCTGCAGTTTCCATTAGTAACAGACAAACAATCTTGTTATTCAAGCGCTTGCTTTAAGGCGAAATTCAGCACCATCATCATCATAATATAAAGAGCAAGAATACAGAATCAATCACAACATATATTTAAATACGTACCTTCAACCTCTCTTTCAACTTGGCAATTCCTTCCTCACCGTTGAAGGTTCGATCATCGGCGCTTCCCATCGAGATGATTGTATCAAAACCTAACTTCTCCGATAGAACAAAAAAATCAGTATATACCGTTTCCGCGCAATAAAAACAACCCTAACACACACACACACACCACACGCGATTGAATTCGAGAGCGGAGAGATTTCACAAACCTGTATGTGGATTAATGCTTAGGGTTTAATGCTCTCCGTCACTCGCTCGATTTCTGAAGAATTACAGAGTTTTTCCTTTGGTTATAAAGAAGAATTAAAGAGATTCTTAACTGGGTTGGGCCTGACTGTATTGGACTACAATTCCGCCGTTATGTTAATCAACAAACATCCGTTAGCTTTATTAGGCGCGACTGAACGACGTAGCTTATGGCCGTTGAGTTTGGATTTCAGCTTTTCACTCCCCAGAACGGCGTCTATTTCAGCTGAGTGATCTTTGTACTAGTCACCAGCCGTTACCGTTACCATGATAGGCAGGTCCGGCAAAGAAACGAGAGTTGGAAATTGGGAGCGTTAAATCATTGGGCTTTTCTGGGGAAAATGTAACTAACTAACTAACTAACTACCTTTTTGGCATTTTGGAGAATATGATGATGGGAATCAAATCTGAGGTGACACGTGTATTTCCATCCCAAATCGAACGGTATGTATAGTTAAGAAACCCGTAGGGTCAAAATCGTCCAGAAAGTCTGCGTCTTCTACTGGCTATATTATTCTGTTGCAGTCTCTTTTCATTTCGAGTTTACCGCCTCTTCTCTCTGAGTTCAAATTTTCTTTTCTCCGAGCAGATTCTCCGTCGAACCTTTAGGTGATTTCGTGGAGGTCTCAGAAGGCATCGTCTGGTTCGTAGGTACGATCGATTTACTCTCGTTTCGTCTCTGCCTTGGTGAGTGAAACCTAATGGCTTGTTAGTTCGATTTTACACTCGTTCTGGTGTTTCTACTCTCTGATAAGTTTTCAGTTGATTTTTTATTCCGATCAGGTTCTCCGTCGGAACCTTTAGGTGTGATTTCTTGGAGGTTTCAAGGCGTTTTCTTGTTCCAAGGTACGATCGATTCTTCTTTGTCTTCTTGAAACCTAATATTGCATTCTCTGTGTGCAAATTTCAGTAGATTCGGTTCTCCATCGAACTCTCGTTTCATCTCTGTGTAGTTGAAAGCTAATGAATTGAATTGTTGGTTTCTCATGATTTACTGATTCGATGGTTAAGCTCGTTTAGTCTCTGTCCTATGATACGTGAATTCTTGTGGTTGGTTAAACGTTATGATATATGTGAATTTCAGGTTTACTCGAGCCACTTTGCATCATCAAGGAAAGCTGTGCAACAACCATGGATATTCTCTTAGCATCGTTGGATAACCTTGCAGTTAAGCAAAGACTTGTCTTTTCCGAGGACGCCGAAGCCATAGATCAAATCAACAAGGCTAAGCTACATTGCGAGCATGCTTCGAGCCTCGTCGCTAGAGCAGTCAAACCAATGCATGCTGCCAGAGCTTCTTCTGAGGTTGCTAAGGCTGCAGCCGGTGCCGCCAAGGTCGCAGCTAATGCTGCTCTGCAGGCGAAACTAGTGGCTGAGGAGGCATTTTCGAGCTCTACTTTGGCACCGTCACTGTCTCCCAACTTGCCTACTAAAAACAGGTTTGATATCTTATCAAACCTGGATGAGTGAGAGATGTCTCTGTACCTACCCTCTTCTTGCTTTCTGTTTTTGTTGATGTAAACTCAAATCTTTCTCCACGGTTTGTAGTTCTTTATATCTTTCATGTTACTAAATAGGAGTGCCAAGGTAATGTCAGTGAGAGAGATCACATAATCAAACACTATTCACTATTCAAATGTGTCTCACCATCCATACGAATGACTAAAAGAAAGAAGCAAAAAGATACCTTTTTGGGTTGCCATGCTGATCTGACTCCGCTATAGCTGCAGCAGTTATCAACTACAGCGAGAACAAGATAATGATTTGGAATCGAGAAGACCCAAATTCAAATAATGTTCAGAGAAATGAGGAAGAGCTGTAGATTTTCTTGTTGAACAACAGCAAAGACGTGTACAGAGAGAGAGAGAGAGAGAGAGAATGGCGTAACAGTCAAGGAAGCTTTTAGGACGTGAGACATTCATAGAAGCATGTAATGAAGTCACTGTATTACAAAAGCTCAAAAACCAAGAAAACTGAGTTATAAATCCGCTAGAGTCACACCTATTTTAGGTGAAATTGTCAAATACAGAAATGAAAAAAGAGTTAACAAAGGAAAGTCTGTTTCATTTTTTGTTCTTTTCTTCGTGGTGGTGTGTGGAACTAAGAACTTCGAGTTGGGGGTGGTGGTTATGTTCTCTTCATAATGTATCCCAAAATTAGACCGATTAGCCCGACCAGAAGAACGTACATCAAAGGGATACCACTTTGGCCTCTCTTGCTGTCACGCCTTAACTGGTCCTGCAGATCAACCAAAACTTTGTCAGAACTCAAGATCTAAACGAAGTAATACTTTGCAACATGTTTAACACTTGTTTTGGTTTATTTTCTCTAAGGTTAGATAGATTAACCATCTTCATTCATGGGGAGTTATGAACGTGCAGAAAAGAAACTAATAACAACCCATGAACTGGCTTTCTTCTCAATACCATGAAGAAGCACTGAAAATGCTTTTCGTAATTGCTAATCATCATCGTTTCGTTCTAAAACTAGCGTTAAGGAGGATACATTTAAGTGATTTACCAGTTCTCGTTGAAGTTTGTTGTTAAGTTGAATAGCAGACTGTTTTTCCTCAGTTAGCTTTGTGATGAGAGTCCTTGCCTGCAATCACACAAAAACTCAGCTCATAATAGAAACTACTGCATAATAAATAACTTGACTTTCCTGGTACCTGGTCTCAGCTAATAAGAGCTAGTGGATGTCGGTGCAGATTAAAAAAAAAATGCAAAAGCATTCACAAACTAATAAAATAAAGTAATGGGCGGCTTAAGGGCATCTCCAACCCAACTCCATTTTCTACTCTAAAATGGAATAAAAGGGAATATGGAGTAGAAAACACTCTAACCCTACTCCATATTCTACTCCATAATAGAGTTTACTCCATAAATGGAGTAATCTATTTTTTGTTTGTTCATCACTCCATTATGGAGTGGAAAATGAAGTGGGATTGGAGCATTTTTACTCCATATTCTCTTTTACTCCATTTTGGAGGAAAAAATGGAGTTTTACAAAAAAAAAACTCCAATACATAAGGACTTGGCTGGGGTCTAAAAGTGTAATGAACCTTTTAAGTAATCAACCCAAAAAAAAAAGACCTAATACATAAGCTGTTAAAGCTAACTTTCCACTAAAAGTAGTTCCCAAGTTGTATTTAATGGCGATTTTCAACAGATCAAAAACAAGAACACTAACATTTGCAACAGATTAGTATCACTTGAAAAAAGTATAGAAGAATTGGGGAAAATACCTCAGATGTATTTTGTTGAGGTTCAACCTTGTCCGCGCTAGATCTCTGAAACTAAAACCAAACAACACACATGAGAATCTACACTAAGTAGTAAAGGAGGAAATGTAATATCTACCAGAGCCCTGGAAAAAGATGGTAATAATCTTACAGAAAACTCAGAAGCCTGTACGCCGTTATCAGAAACAGAAGCCCTAGGTGAAGAACCCTCTTCAGAACCTTCGTGAACAGGTGATGGTGGTTGTGGTGGAGCAACATAAGTAACTCTCAGTTTAGTCTCCTCAACCAGATACCCAGCCTCTTTGCTAAACTGCAAAGTATAATTTACAAGAAACGAAACAAAAAAATGATTAACACATCTTTATCCATTTAAAAACAAAAAAAAAACAAAAGGAGGAAAGCAGTAGGTACCATCTCAGGAGTAACATCCTTGGCAGTGACACCAGGACTAGCAGTTACACCTTGAAGAAGAAACTTGTCCTTGCATTGCATATCGGAAGGAGCCTCCTTTTGAGCTTGCATGGTCACTACACAAACACCAAAACAAGGAGCTTCCTTTAGCAATTGAAATTAAACATAAGAAGAAACAAAATGCATAGAGAAAGAGAGAAGGAACCAAGAACTTCACAAGTGGACCGTGGAAGAACAACTCCGGTGTTAGGCCTAACACAATACTTCTTCGGGTTCGTCGTCTTAACCTAAAGAGAAAAAAACACAAACATGAGAAGCAATTTCCCGATTCAAAAATCTGGAAATTTGGTGCTAACATCACAATCACAAACCTTAAAGGCGACATGATTGTCGGTCTTGTTGGTCAAGTAAAGAGAGCACGAGATCTGCTTCCTCAATTCAACTAACAACAGAGAACAAGATCACGACGAATCAATAATTGACACAGGGAGAGAAGAAGATCTAGATCTATATATATATATAGTCCGGAGCTCAAAGAAGAAGAATATAATTACAAATATGTCCAAAAAGAAAGCTTACAGGGGAACTGAAGGTCAAGAGGCTCGACGGAAAGAAGCTCGCTGTTACTCATCTCGATCAGATCGCCGGAGATTCTTCCTTCCCGTGACGCCGCGTCTCCGGTTCAGAGAGAGAGAGACCAGTCCGTCGATCAAGAGAGAGAGGACATCGCTATTTGTCTTGTCCTGTCTCAAGGGTACTGTAGTCTTTTCACAACATGTTTTTTTTTAATAAGAAGGAGAGCTTTGTCACGTGGCTGTTATGTTCGTTGATTTTTTTTCCTTCCCGCTTCTTCTCGTTAACAAGCTGAAGAATAAACTCTCGAAAGCCGCAAGAATCTCGAGAGATTCGTTCTCTAAGGAACTTACTTTTCTGAGAGATGTTTGAGTGCGTCTGAATGTTTTGTCCGTGGTGATATGCACAAAACATACATGGAGAAAGATTCCGTGTCGGAATCAGCACTTTAAGGAGCAGCAACCAGATACAGTTCTCTGCCCTCATGAACAGTAACGTTCTTAAAGAAGATCCAAAGAACAATAAGCAACCCTTTCTTGATGACCTCGAAACACAAGTTCAATTCCTTCCTTGTGCGATACAAAATTTATTTACCACTGCTGTTGTGTCCAGCTGGGGAAATACAAACTCTAACAGTACTGTCCTCTTGAGGGTACTTATTTGCTTCTCTATCTTCAAAATCAATTTAGAGAACTGGACAAGACTGAAACTGAGAAAGAAATGTCTAAAACAGCAAATGCTTTAGAGTGTGTGTGATAGATATTAGCAGAGGCTTAGAGAACCAAACAGTAATCACCGGCTTGTGGTTATAGTGAAGAACACATCTGCAGTATCTTATGAAAAGAACCTGGTGGGTCAATCGCAAGATTCTGTGGCGAAAGGAAGATACGGCCAGAGAGAAACCCAGCGCTGATGTATAAAACACTGACATGTTTCAGTTCAAAAGAGTCTTGTGTTTCTCTGTTTGTAGCAGGGATTGTTTTCGATTTAAATCACTAGCATTGATGTATACAATGACATGAACTCCAAAGAAGTGTTCTTTGTTCTATAATACGAAACGAACAGCAACATATACTAACCCAACTAATACAGAGAATATGTGTTTGCTATTATCACCGACTCACCAACAATACAAAATTATGTAGTAAAGAGTTACATATCCTTTTCTTTCAGACATGTCTGACATCAAAGGTAAATAGATGAGATATAAACTATCTATCTTTACTTAGAAGTAACAGATGATTCTGGTTGCTGATTTGTTGTTGTTGTTGTTGTTCTAGATGCATAACCAGCAAACCAAGCAACTCTCATGAGTTGCATCCCCAATATCAACACCCACCAAGACACAAGCCCACGTATCATATGAACCACCCACACCGGTGCATTCACCTCTGCGCTTAGTTTCAACCCTCTCATCAGCTGCAAAACTCGGTACGCCTCGTAGACAACTGGTGTCACTAGCCACACCGGTGACTGCCAACTCCATGTCAGAATCTCCGTCAATGTCTGAACCGCAAGGAGAATGAAGTAAGGCAAAAGTAGAACAGCTGACGAGATGAAAGGAAGCTCCGGTTGAAGTGAAGCAAGTAAACCGGTTTGGGATCCAAAGAGAAGTAGCGTTGGGACAAGAAACCCGGTTAAGAGTGCAAAAACATTCCAGAACTTGTAGCTAAATGGTGGTTTGCTCTTGCAGGACACTGATGGGTCTTTAGGACGTGCGCAAGAATCAGCCATTAACAAGAAAAGCGCTGCTCCAAGGTTGAATATACAATCTAAACCGATCAACGAAAGTACACTAACCACATTCGAACCGACGAAAACTGAAGACAATGGTAGCCATAATGTAGGTGCCATACCGCTTGTGAGTAGAACAGATGGACCTAAAAGCCATATCGGCCATTTAAAAACCTGAACTTGGTGAGAGTTAGTACTCTGCGCTGAATCTACTTTCTCCTCCTCTGCAGTTTCGGATATGATAGACTCAAACACATTTGCGGTTTTTTCCAATACTATATTACCAGCTTCTTGTGCAGAAGAACGAATGAAAGGTGGTGATGGTTCCCATTGAGACATCTTTGTGCATAAGACACGGAGATTACAAGACCCGGTCTTTATCATCTTGGGATTCTTGAGGCGGATTCTTGGAGGGGTAATGCATAGAGACTTGGTGAGAGACACCATTCCTTGGCTCACCATTGATGTCTCTTGAAAGGTTTCAACTATCTGTTTTTAACATAAACCCACATAACATTTCGAAATTATCAGGACCAAGACAGTACATGGACAAAACAAACAACTTCAAGATAATCAAAGTCTAAGTCAACCTATAAGTGAAATAGTTATATCAATTACAGTATTCAATCAACTAGTAAGAATCTTGAATAATATCAAAGACGCAAACTTTAGGTTTCTTACTAGTTCTAGTGGCTTAAAGGAGAAGGATTGAATCAAATTGAAGCCGGTCACGGTCATCAATATCTATACCGATCAATTGTACCAGGAAGTCGCGGGAAAGCAAACCAGAAACATCTAAGAATATCAAAGAAAATATCGGATCAATTGAAACTCACCGGTGAATCGTGGAACCGTAAAGATCCCTAGATCGTTTGGCTTATTTCTCTTTACGTCTCCGGACAGATATGCTGGAAACAGACAGTACGGAGGTGTGTTTGGATGCAAAATGTCGGAACAGAAACACAGTGTCGGCCCATCCTGATATACGCGACGTGTAGACAATTTGAATGATCGGCCCATCTTGTTATAAAAGCCCACCACCGATCTCCTTTTTGATATACGCGACGTGTAGCCCACCACCGATCTATAGAAAGCAAATTAACCGTTTAACCAAATTTTAAATGCGTCTCCAAATATAAAATGTTAACTGAGACTTTTCCAAGTTAAGGAGTATTGGATTGATATATGAGAGTTGTTGATATGTATTCCGGTCTGGATTCCCATGCCACCTCAAGCTTAAATAATAAATCAGCCGTTTGTCGTCAAAAACAAAAAAAAGGTCATTAGTAAAAGGTATTTTTTTCTAGATAAAACAAAACTGAAGTTAGGAAAAGCACAAGAGGGAGCACTGGAACACACACATTAACTGCAGAAAGAAAATTAAATGAAGAAGACTTGAGCTCTCAAGCCTGGTGCATTGAGTCAGAGAGTCACTTTAATCACGCCCAACCACACATCTTTTCTTCGTCCTTCTCTGTTTTTTAAACCACACCCAATGTGATTTGTCCCCTTTATTTGTTTCTATTGTTATCAATTTTGAATTGAAAAACACTACTAATTTTTACAACAAAAAAACACAAAAAAAGAAAAAAAAAATATATATATATATATATATATATATATATATATAATGGGATATCATAGCAAATAAATAAAATAAGAAGACGTTGTAATAAAAATAAAATAAAATAAGAAGGTCTAGTCTTTCCTAAGCATAAGAGCATCTCCATCAATGGTTCTTGGTCATGGGGTTCTAAAAATGTGTATATGTGTATATAAGCATGGAATCCACTGTTTTGTGGAGAACTCAACCCTAAAGGTCCTCAAAATATTGTTTAAAGTAAGCCATAAGTTGAGCAGACCAAACTAGTTCAACTTTTTAATCGTGTTTACTTATATATTTCTTGTTGAATGTTTTGTGATTTGCTTTTGCTTTATTCTTTTCATAGGCGAATATTAGTGAAGTTATTAGTGACAGTCCAAGGATCTTTGTACCAACGGCTGGCATCAAATGGGCTCACAGTTTTAGACAGAGAAGATCTATACTATTAAAGCAAGATCCTATTGTTACAATTTTGGATTCTATCCAAAGATTGTTATCACATTTATAAGACAATACCACTATTTATTTTTAGAATCTTAATTAATTAAACAATTTAATATCTCCTATATTTATGGTAACTGATAATATTTCATATTTTTGTGATTAATAATAATTTTTCTTTTATGAAAATTATGATTTTCTATTTAATTTTAATATCATATTTCCGTGCATCATATTATTTAGCGATACAAAATTATAAATTATTATTTATTGTTTCATTTTATCCATAATAATGATATGTCAATTCAATTTATTTTAAAAACTAAATTTTAGATATAAAATGAGTAAAAATGTAAACTTATCATAGGTTATTAATAACGAAAAGAAACTAATATTGTTATATGAATAAATTGTGTTTTTTTTCTATTGCCATTGTTTCATTTTTTTCAAATGACAAGAAAGTTTTTATTAAAGAAATTACAAAAAAATCAATTTTCTTTAATGTTAAAAATATGAATTATTTAACAAATTTTTTAAAATATATTATCAGTTTTTATGGGGTTATTTAACGGATCAACGAATATCATGATACAGATTAATAGCGGATTTTAAGATATATATCGGGTTGGCTTAAATTTTTAATTAGTAAATTTATAATTAAATCTTAACTGGATTATATAAAAATTGTCGGATGTACCGATTCAACTATGGATCTGGGTCGGATATGAAAACATTACGTGAAAATCAAACATTATAATAGAACTTTTTTAAATATTAATAAAACAATTTTAAAATTTTTATGTTTGAATAATTAATTTTAATAAAGGGAAATTAAGTGTGATAGCTATAAAAAAAATCAAAATTCACTAACTAACTAAAAATCCCCCTTCTCTCTTCATTGCTCTCCCTATCTCTCTCTACTCTCTTACTAGAAAACTAATTTTTCTTTTTTTCTTGGTTATTTGGCTAATAAGCCCTTTAATAAAGTTTATCAAATTGGTAAAAATATACCCGCGCTTTTAAAGCGCGGATCAAAATCTAGTACATTTATTAAAAAGTGATTTCATACTTAACTCTAAAGTTTTTTCTGATTCACTCACTAGATTTTTCATTCCAACTTCGAACACTTTAATGCCTCCAAAAGTTGGAAAATGATCATATCAGATAAAATGATTTCAGGAGACTAATCTCACCAAATCCCAAGTCATTAGTCTCACCAAAGAATTAGTGTGAGATTAGTCAAGCTTGCAATAACTTGGATACAACTACTCTGAATCACAATGTGTTGGATGCTATTGGGCGGTGAAAGTTAGTGGGGTTATTCTTCAAGTCACAAGTAAAGAATAAAGTATACTCTCGAAGAATAATTCTACATTTGTGGTTAGACCAAACGAAAACCTACTTATGCAACTAATAAGTCTTTTTGTACTATTTCGAACTAAATAGTTATAAAATGAGCTTAACCTAAGTATCAACTAAGACTAAAATATTTTTGGACATTTTCAAGAGCCTTTACAAAGCTAAACGAGAGAAATCAAGTGGGAAATTAGTAGTAGTAGCTTTCAATAACAGAGGAGAGGCAAGAAGTCCCAAATTTATATAATTCACCATACAAACACATTAAAAGTCTATAAAACGACCAAGTAGAAGCTTATTTGAAAGTTCTTCGATTGATATGGTTAGGCCAGCAAGACGTGAGGCCAAGGACTGGCGTTAGAACATGTAAATGTAGCTCCTCCGTTGCATTTTAAATAATAGTAATAATTAAAATCAAAAGCAAAAAAAAAGATTCAAACTTTACGAAAAATTAGGACGACCCGAATCACGCAAAGTCGGTTACCTTTTATCAGCATTCATTGAAACACCACAGAGACTTCTTCTTCATCCGTTGGTGCAGGAAGATTAAGATCTATCATCCTCTGTTTCACTGACTCTGTTCGATGTAATTGATGATGGTTTACAGACAAGTTCCCTATTCCGTGTGATCTCTTGTGACCTCCAAGTGCTTGTCCCGACGCGAAAACTCTAAGACAAATCGAACATTCATGGATTCTCTTCTCTGGAGCAACAACAACAGCTACATTATCATACTCTGTAGTCTCTGTTTCGCTTTGTTGCTCTGTTTTGTTGGAAACTCTGCTCTTCTTGTGGCTTGCTCTATGCCCACCTAATGCTTGATATGATTTTAACACTTTCCCACATGTCTCGCACGTGAATCTTTCTTTCTTGCTCGATTTGTTGTAACTTTCTGTGTCGATCTCTTCTGCTTCTTCCTTATGACTACTAGTTTTTTTCTTCTTCTTCTTCTTCCATTTGTCTCTTGAGAGCATCATGAGACAAAAGGCGACATCTTCATCCGCCGTTGTATCAGAAGCTGAGCTGTGAGGAGGAGGAGGCTCAGGCTCGGTCTTGTAACCGAGTTGACTCGTTTTCACCAACGACTCTAGCTTCCGAGTTCGCTTGGATCGTTTCCGTGTCAGGTTAATGATATTCCTCGACGGCTCGGTCTCGCTCTCATCAGAGCAGCCGGTGAAAGCAAGCTTCTGATCGTCATCCATAGTCGGATGCTTCTCCTCTCTCAACCCATTTCTCTTTCCAGAGGAAGAAGAAGAAACATCCGACTCAGTATCATCACTGAGTTGACTCGGTCTCACCTCTTCTTCTGTGCAAAAGCTATGAAGACTTGGCATGTCACATGTGGGATCTCATATCACCTAGAGCTCCTCCGTTGACAAAACTCTTAAAAGCAAAACTTGCACTTGTAGTTGTTCCGCACTACCGCTCCGTCTTTACAAATACAAATACAAATACAAAGAGCAAGAGAAATAAGGAGGATACCAAAAAGTGGAGTTTAGTGGAATCTACAAACTCAAGAAGATTATAAAAGAATTTTTAAAATTAAGTTTACTGTTTTTATCAAGTTTATTAAATTCTGATCTGGAAAACGGAAAGTGTAAGAAAACAAAATCTAATTAAAGGGTATGCATGAAGTTGAAGAAGCGACAATGAAACATGCGAGCCTTGCCCGTTTCTACAAATATGATCTTAAATTTCTCGATCCACCCTTCTTTTTACGTTTTGTTTTAAAATAGTCATAAGAAAGTTTTTTCTTCACCAGAAAATAGCTGTCTTTTAACTAGGTCGAGCACTCGAGCTATTCTTGGATTCACCATTTATGGTGAACCTAGGGGTTCACCAATAAATTAAAATGGTATTGTTTTATATTTGTTATCTTTTTAAAAAGAAAATAAAATAATGTTAAGTTATATAATGTTTTTAAAATAAAAATCCAAAAAATAAATAAAATAATAATATTTACAAAAAACGAAAAAATTCTTTAAAAAAAATATTTTAACACTAAACCCTAAACTTTTGGGTAAATCATAAGCCCTTTTAAAAAATCTTAAACACTAAATCAAAAAAGTAATACTAACCAATTATACTATTTTATTTATTTTTATTTTTTTATTTTAAAAACATAATATAATGTAACAATATTTTTTTTCATTTTAAAGATATTTTAAAAGATTTTTTTTTTTTAAAATGTGTTTTTTTTTGCAATTATTACTGTTTTTATTTTATTTTTATCTTTTTATTTTAAACACATAATATAATTTTATATTTTTTAAAAATATTTTTCGTTTTTGTGTAAATATTATTATTTTTATTTTTTTTGTCTATTTTTATTTTTTTTAAAATAATATAATATAACAAGATTTTCTTTCTTTTTTTAAAAAGATATCAAATATGAAATAATAACATCCTATTGGTTGGTGATGAATCCAAAAATAAATCTTTTATATCATAAATAAATTAACTTTCGTGAAACCCTCGTGGGGGTATTTTCGGAAGTTGATGTCTTGCTGTGTACAAAAGTCTCGCGAAAGGATGTTTTGGTTGAAATGATGTACCATTAACAACAAAACTAGGTTTGGGCATTTTATCCGGACCCGAAGAACCGACCCGGAATCGACCCGAAAATGTGCGGTTCAGGTATGAACCGAACCGATCATTTTATCCTATTGGGTCTTGATGTGGAGGATCCGAGGGTCTTGGACCCGAACCGATCTAAACCCGAGACCCGATAGATACCCGAAATATCAAAACTTCTAGTATATATTATGTATATATATATATGTTTTAGTATTTTTATGGTATTATAAGTATTATTTTATGTTTCAGATTTGAGTTTTCGGATATAATTACGGGTTTTAAGTAAAATTTTAGATTTTTAAAAATATAATTCGAATAATCAGATAAATTTTTGGATATTTTTATGTCTTCGGGTCAGATTTTAGGTAAAATTTTGGATATTTTTGGGTATTTAAATATATTTCGGTATTTTTTGTGTGTTTTAGGTATTTTTTGGACCATACCGGGTAAGACCCGAACCGAACCCGACCCAAAACCGAACTGAATCTGAATTGATAAATTCTAATTACCCCATTAGGTCCAACTATATAAGATCCGAACCGACCCGAACCCGGTAGGACCCGAACCGAACCTGAACAGACAAAGTTTAATTACGCCATTGGGTCTAAATATCTAAGACCCGGACCCGAAATGACCCGACCCAAACCCGATCCGAACCGAGAAATGCCCAGCTCTAAACAAAACGTTGTTCAAAAATGAATACGGTGTTAACATCATCTGCTTGTGAGTTTACATTACGTGAGATCCACGTACTACTCCGACGATGATTTAAACTAGAAAATATTACATTTAAGGGCAGTTATCAAGTTTATATTGACATTATGAGACACATTATACTACCCAGACACTTTTTCCAAATGTCTAGTTTCTTTTTTTCTCTTTCTTAACTATATCGTTGGTTAAAGAAACTAGGAAAAATTGTGTTTTAGCGGGAACAAACCTGAGCCACACATATTTCTTCTACATAAAAGGTTAAGATTAAAACTGTCATATTGACAAGACTTATATTTGTCTCTTTTATCAGCCATTGGATTTGGTTAGCACTTTAAATTTTAATGGTCCAGATTGCAAGAATTTTATCTTTATCTTTTCTATTTTCATCAATCTGTTTTTATTTTCGACGGCCACAAAAAAACAATCAAACGTTAATCTCTCACTCAGTAGTTCCAAAGACCATTAACTACTCTTAATCCATTAATCAAGCCTCCCAAACTCATGTTCGTTTTTCTTTTTTTTGCTAGTTGAATGGTCATGTTAAAACTCATTTAATGTATTAATTGTGAAATAAAATAAATGTACTCTGGTAATTTCCATCAATTTTTAGTGTACACCACCACTCATCTTAATGTACACATTTATTAGTTTTAGTTATTCACATTAGCCACGTTACTAATGTATATGTTTTCAAATTAAGTCACCTTCAGTGTTTTTGGGATACACCAATTATCGCCTTAATTCATATGTACATTTATTTTATTTTACAAACATGGATACTGCATAAATACAAATGTTTACTTAAGAATGCGTTTACTCATACACATGATTACCAACTAATGAATGTGTTTACTTCTACATATTTCCACATATAATTTTATTAATATCCTTATGTACACAATACATAATGTATATGTGTACACATTTAGCATTAGTCATGTACATGGCACACTGGGATTCTGCACACATGTATGTGGAACTGTGTACACATACACCTTCACCTGTGTACATATAAAACTTACGACTAATCAATGTACATGTGGACAGTGTTACTATTAGTCATGTATATTATTATCTCTTTATAGTCACGTGTACAATACAAATAAACCCATGGAAACGACAAACCTCTCTACTATCCCACAATAACTACTATACAAATGTACATGTTTACCAATAGTTTTATACATCGTTCATGTGGAACGGTGTACACAAGCATGTGGAACGGTGTACACAAGTATGTGGAACTGTGTACACATATTGTGTTACGTCTTCAATTTATATGTACGATAGAAATATTGTACACATGAATACCAACCAACAAATGCATTTATTCATATACATTTCCACATATGCTCTTTACAAACATCACCGTACATGTGTACACATGGATACTACCTATCCGAAAATATTTAACAATTTTACCAACCAATGAATGCGTTTACTCATATACATGATTACCAACCAATAAATGTGTCATATATGTAGAAAGAAATAAGCTACTAGGATAATAGATCATTGGAAGCAAAGATGATTTACATACATACACAAATCAAAATCACTGTTTATGTTTGATTTATGACTGTGTGATGACAATTGTGGGTTTTATTTCTCATTTGATTGGGTATGTATGATCTGTTTTGGAAGATAGTCTATTTTTGTGTGTTGATTAATCTCTTTCAACTTCCAGATTTCATAAAACTTCAATAATACTATATTTTAGGTGATTTTTGTTGGATATGTAAACATATATATGATAAATGTATTTTCATATGGCTATTCTGTGGCAGATGTACATTGTGCATATTGAAAATTGTATCATAAGTGTCATTATGTTTGGTTTTTATTTGAAATTTAATTATGAAACTGGAGATATATACCTGCTTTTCATTTTATATAATCTCAATGTATATTAGAATATTGTACACCTGGATAACCAAAACTATGTACACTACTCATTTAACACATGTACATTTGATTAGTGTACACATGGATAACAAGACCTATGTGTACTACTCATTTATACAAATTTATGAAACAGAAGATATATAACTGCTTTCATTTTATAACGAGACCTATGTATAAAACTCATTTATACAAATTTATGAAACAAAAGATATGAAACTGGAGATGTATACATGCTTTTCATTTTATATAATCTCCAATGTACATTAATATGTTGTACATCTGGATAACAAAACTATATTACTCATTAACCAATGTACATTGGATTAGTGTACACATGGATAACGGAACCTATGTATACTACTCATTTATACAAATTTATGAAACATAAGATATATATATGCTTTCATTTTATATAACCTCCAATGTACATCAGGATTGTGTACACGTGAATAACAAAATTTATGTACACTATTCATTTATATATATATCAATGTACATTAGGATAGTGTACACATAATGAGATCTACGTATACTACTCATTTATACAAATTTACAGTGTACATGATGATATTGTACACATGCTATGGATTGATCATATACACGTGTATAACAAGACTTATGTACACTATTCATTTATACAAATCTATAATGTACATGAGGATACAATTTAACTTAATCATCAAAATATGCCTATACAATTTGGCTTTATAATATATTGATACAATTCATAATTTGTGTCTTGGGTCAGCAAGTGTCTTGGAACATGGTTGCGATGTATCGGAAATCTCACAGTCAAACTCACCCCAACCAGCCTCCTTGCACTCCACATGCTCCACCATCGGTTTCATAACAAGCTACATCTAAATATACACACAAAACACCAACACATTACAGCGAGCTTTAGAGTACACATCTACAATGACCTGAAGCGTACACATGGATAAAGTATATGTGTACACATGTACAACAAGCCTACCCATTCACATGTACACCAAAGGTGCAAAAACACAGAGCCAAAAAACTCACAAACATAACACTAACCTTTGGATCATGCTCAACATCTTCCACCTCCGACAGAACCAACCCCGTGTGGTGTGGGAGCTTCTCACCAACATAAACAAGCAATTTATCCTCGTCA